TGTGTGTGTGTGTGTGTGTGTGTGTGTGTGTGTGTGTGTGTGTGTGTGAGAGAGAGAGAGAGAGAGAGAGAGAGAGAGAGAGAGAGAGACCTGCAGCATGCAGCATGTCAGTGGCAGGGAGCACAAGGGCATGCACTGACCTCCCAAAAAAAAAAAGAAGTAATTTTATTGGAATGCAAGAGCCTCATCATCTGTCTTAACGGTTGTCTGCATGTACGAGGCAGACAAAAAGACAATGGATAGATGGCGCTCACTGGGTTGCGAGGGATCTGAAGTCCGGATCTACCCCTGGTCCCCTCCAAAGCAACAGCGACCAGAAGAGAAAAGAGAGCAACTTATGAGGGAATATTTTTGGGTAGAATTTAGGCACATCCCCATCGAGATCCAGGCTGCGTTCACACAAGACTTCGCAGAGAAGTATGATGTGGTTGATTTTATTGACCCCCTCCCGCCGCATGTCCCAAGGCGAGATGACCACCTCATGCTAGCCATACGACTGGCGGAGGGACAGATCTTCACCATTGACGACATAATTCCTTACTGCATCGGCGGGAAAATCCACCGCATTCATACCGCTCACAAACTAAGGCCGTGGTGTGTCAAATGCCAAGCATACGGACACCTATATTCAGACACAGCGTGCACCCGTCACCCCTCTCGTGCAGCCAAACCCACAGGGCACCTGCAAAAAGACCCTTTTGCAGACACCCGGTGGAGGCCTGTGGACCCTGGCCATGAAGGCTGGGTCTATATTGATGAACCAGGGCAAGGGGGGGGGGGAGCGATAGGCTGGATATGGGAAGGGCAGGGCAACCCACGGCAGGACACCAGACCGCCAGCAGCCTGGACCCCCCAGAAAACCTTGGAAACCCCCGATTGAAACAGCAGGCAAGGGCGGAGCAGCCACAGCAACCATCACTGACAGCACAGCAACAGGTAGGGCAGCATGACTTAGAAGAGAAAAACCCGCTGGACGCGCCAACCGCGCAGGCCAAACACAAGCATTATACGACGGACTTCTTCTCGGACGCCTTTGGAGCTTGACAAATGGATATGGATACCGCCCCCCCCCCCTCCTCCGCCGGATGTAGAAATGATGGACAGCCAAACGGACCCGGACGCCCCCCCCGAGGAAATGGACCTCGATCAGAGGATCCAAAATAATCACGGAATGGATAATCAAACACCTTCGACTGGAGACCACAAAGGAAGGGGAGACGGGAGGGGACGAATATTGGGATGCGACGTACGTGGAACTGGTAACCCTCTTAAACAACAGTCCCACACTCAGGGCGGCGCTGACGACTGGCCCCCCGGTCCATTTGACATGGGCAGAGAGCTTCTAGAGGATTTTGGCCATAGCCCGCAGCCGATTTCGCCCTCCGCCAGCCCCGGATCACACGCAGACTCAACAACCTTCCACCCCCGCACCCAGTGCAAGGGGGGCCACGCAAGGGGAGGATGGGGAGGAAGGGATGACCTCCAGGTGCCTCAAGCTGCGCCAACTTATAGAACGGGGTCTGTTCGAACTGCCCCTCACTGGCACTAACGGCATTGTAGTACTCCCTATGCGTAAAACAGATGGGAAATGGGAGATTGGGCTCTCCCCGGTAGGGGAGCACGGCGGGGTGACGTTGCAAGGGTGGGACTTCCCGAATCAGATTCTAGACATTAAAGAAAGGGACAGAGCCTTCACTGGCCAAATGCAAGCCTTTGTACCCAAACACTATGCACCCGAGGCAAGGGCAGGCTTAAGATTTGTGGACTGGGACATGCAGATGGCGAAGAACGACCTGTACCTGTTGTTCGAACCCAACAAAACGGTCGATCTGCGCTGGTTTAGCCACACGGCGCTCCTCGACCTACAGTGTGCAAAAGTTAAACCTGGGGAATACTGGTCTGAAGACGATGTGTGCAGATGCCTGTGTAGAATCCTGCGAAAAAAAGTCCTGCTTCTTGATTCATGGGACACCAAGAAATGACACCCCTTATGAACATCCCAATGACTGACTTAGATACATTATAAGGTAGGAATCCGGCCTGGAAACAATGCGTGAAAACGACAGACCTTGATCTCCGCTCTATCAACGTGAATGGCCTGGCAACCTACAACCCAGAAAAACGTCAGGCCATCTGGGATCAACTCAGAGGGGTGGGGGGGCGACAATAGCCAGATGTGATATGTGTGCAAGAGACTCACTTGCAGGATAAACCAGCCCATAATAGAGCCCATAAGATAGTCTGGGCCCACACGGCAGTAATAGCCTATGCCCCCAGAGCCGGCTCAGGGGGAGTAGTGATCTGGGTACCCCCTGACTCCTTCGAGATAGTCCACAGGGCGGTGGATGAGGAAGAAGGACGGTGGGCGTCAGTACTGGGGATGTTGGAACTTGAATTGATATGTATCCTGTGCATCTACTCCCCTAACACGGTAGGGGAAAGAAGAACCTTTTTAGGCAGCCTGGGGGCGCGTGTACCGGACGGCATCCCGCTGGTCATTGCAGGGGACTTTAATGCCGCCCCAGAGAGAGGACAAGACAAATGGAACCCTCAGGGGTCCCCCTCCTTCGCAGCAAAAGAAGACGAGAAAATGATTGCAGATCTGTGCGATAGCCTCGCAGTCTTCAACACCTTCCGCCGTTTGCACCCTGCGGACCGGACCTTCTCCTGCTTAAGGGACAGTGATCCGGCCAGATTGTCCAAATCACGAATTGATCTTATACTATTCTCTAATGACTTAGAAGGCGCTCTCTGATGGGCCGCTATCCTCCCTCGCAGTCCACACCCCGGTCTGGACCACAAAACATGTGGGATAATACTCACCATGCGGAAAAGACCAGATCAAGGACCTGTTTTTTTTTAACTTAATACTTCCAACTCCCGGCCCCACGAGGGGAGGCATGGACACGAGAGCTGGAGGAATTCCTAGCGCCCATGAACAAACGTCTCTCCCTCGTGCAACAAGAGAACCTGGAACGCCCCCTAACAAAGGACGAGATATGGGAAGCACTTCTTCAGATGAAGGAAGAAAAAACACCAGGCATAGACGGGTTCCCCAAAGAGTTTTGGGAAACAATGTGGACGGAACTGGGCACAGGCTTGTGGACCTTCTACCAATAAGTCTGGGAGGATGGGGAAATGGGGGAAGTAGTGGGGAAATAAGTGTTGACTCTGTTATACAAGAGAGGGGATAAAATGAACATTAGGAATTACAGACCCATTACTCTCCTTACAGTTGTCTATAAAATCCTATCTAAGGCCTTGGCAAACCGTATGACAGAGATCCTAACCGATGTGATCCACCCAACTCAGACAGGATTCATGCCTCGCCGGAACATACAAGAGAACATCCTGCTGATAAATGAAATTATTTGTCTGACGAGACGGAATCGGGCAAACGCGGCAATTGTCTTCATCGATTTTGAGAAGGCATACGATCACGTCGACTGGATCTTCCTAGACCAATGCTTGGAAAAAATGAACTTTGGGCCGACCTTTAGAAAATGGATACGCATCCTACACAAAAACGCTACCACCTGTGTACAGGTAAGCGGATCGGTGGCACCTCCCTTCGAGCTCCAGCCATCCGTCAGGCAAGGAGACCCCATCGCCCCCTATCTCTTCCTGGTCATTATGGAGACTCTCTCTGCTAACCTGAATAAAAATAGAGATCTAACCTGAATTAGGATCCCAACATCCCGAAGGAAGCGGTACCCATTTGTTCCCTGTTTGCAGACGATCTCACTATTATGGTTGAAGCGACTGCACAGAACATGGAAGAGATTCAGACCCTCATGAATCGCTTCAGCCGCATGTCAGACATGACTGTCAATTGGGGACAAAAAACGGTGGGATGGTGGCTGCACCATCAAGGGGGCAGACCGCCATAAAACCCTCGCATCACCTGGCTCCCCCCGGACGACCCCCTTAGAGTCTTAGGTGCGTCGCTCACAGCCAAAGGGAAACCCGTCACAAATGACGAATGGCTGATTAGACCGGCACAGGCCAAGTTGCTGCAATGGAACCACAAACACACTTCAATCTTTGGGCGGACCCTGGTTATAAATTATGTCATACTGGCCACCCTCTGGTATCGAGCTATTCTTTGGCCCATAAGCAAAGGAGTGCTTAAGACGCTCAAGCAACAGCTGGCAGCCTTCCTATGGAGAGGGGACAGTAGTAACCCCCACGTCATCAGCCTCGCTGCACTCTTACTTTCACAGTTTCACGAGCTTTCACGATGTGGCACCGTAGTCCAAGCGACCAGCCGTGCACCGTAGTCCAAGCGACCAGCCGTTCGCGACCTCGGGCAGCCTACTGCCCAAAACGAGCTACTACCTTTATTCCGGAGGCAAATTCATGAATAGCGAATCTAAGAATCAACAAACATGGGACCAAAAAAAAAACTAAGAAAAAAAATAAAATAAATGAAATTGAATTTAATTGATTAAAAAAAAAAAAA